CTCTTACCCCTCTGACTCCAAGGAGAATTCTAGCAGCTCCCCAACCTTGGGCAGAGTTCTGGGACTGGATCCTTTATATTCTAGTTGCCCTTTTAAGTAATGACTTTTTTCCCCCATGCCCCAGTGGGGATGAATCTTTTCCTATTCTTCAGTCAGTATTATCCTTCTGCACTGCCATTTTGTGGTGTAGGTGTGGGGTTCATGCCGTTACCCTGTCCTTGCCTTGCCTCCTGTTTTTCCTTTGGTGTCTCTATCCTTTCTCTCTCTCAAGAAGCTGTTCTTCATCTCTCAGTCTTCTTCAGGGGGAATTGCTCTATATGTTGGTAGAAATTCAGTGGAGGTGGAGAGAGTTCAGGGTCTTTCTATGTTGCTGTCTTGGGCCCTCCCCTAATCTTTGTTTTATTATTTCTGCTCAATCTTTGTTTTCTTCTGCCAATCTTGGGTTTAACTTTTTCTTTTTCTAGTTCATTGAGATATTCAATTAAGTTTTTGATTTGAGATCCTTCCTCTTTTTCTAATGTAGGCATTTGCAACTCTTAATTTTCTTTCCTCTTGGGACTCTTTTGCTACGTCCCATGAGTTTTGGTATCTTGTTTATTTTCATTTGTCTTCAAATATTTTCTGTTTCCTTGTGACATTTTCTTTGACACAAATGTTGTTGAAGACTGTTAAATTGAAAATATTTCACAGTTTTTTTTTTAAGCTTTCCTTTTGCTATTGATTTCTGTTATTCCACTGTGATCTAAGAAAAGGTAGTAGGTATGATTTCTGTGTTCTTAAATTTGTTGAATCTTATTTTGTGGCTTAATGTGTAACTATTATGTTTCTCTGAGTCCTTTGTTTTTTTGCTGTGTTTTTCTCACTAAAAAAAGGTTACCTCTTTTGGCCTAAAGGACTGACTTTGTACAGGAGAAAACCTTCACTAGTTGACATACAATGTTTTATTACTTTCAGGAGTAGAACATAGTGATTCAACAACTCCTACATCACTTCCACCATACAAAGTTATTACAATTTTTTATGTTCCCTGTGCTATACTTTTCATTCCTGTGACTTATTTATTTTATATGGATGTCAATATTCCCTTAATCCACCATCACCTATTTTGGCCATCCCCTATCTACTTCCCTTTTGGCACCACAGTTTATTCTTTGTATGTTTGAGTCTGCTTTCATTATCCATTCTTTTTTTGTGATTCCACAATTAAGTGTATTCTTACGTTTGTCTTTCTATGTGTGGCTTACTTCACTTAGCATTGTATTCACTAATTCCATCCATGTTGTTGCAAATGGTAAGAAGATCAAGATCTCATTCTTTTTTTATGTCTGAGTAATATTCCATTGTGTGTATGTATACGTGTGTCTATATATATGCGTACATCACATCTTTATCCATTCCTCAGTTGATGGGCACTTACATTGCTTTCATATCTTGGCTTTTGTAATAATACCGGAATAAACAGGGGTGTGTATGTCTTTTAGAAAAATGTTTTTTCATTTCTTAGAGTGAATACCCAGTTGTGAAGTTGCTAGATCTGGGATTCCTGGGTGGCTCACTCAGTTAGGAGTCTGCCTTCAGCTCAAGTCATGATCCCAGCATCCTGGAATCAAGTCTTATATCAGGCTCCTTGCTTAGCAGGGACCCTGCTTCTCCTTTATCTGGGAATGTCTTAATTTTATTCTTAAAATAGTTTTGTTTATCTTTTATTTATCTTTTAGTTTTATTTATCTTTTGGGTCAAATTTTCCATAAATAGTTATTCTTTAGGAATTTTAAATATATTATCCCACTATATCCTGGCCAGCGATGTCCCTGCTCATAAATTAGCTTATAATGATACTGACATTTCCTTGGTTATAAATTCCTTTTCGGTTGCTGCTCTGAACATTCTCTCATTGTGTTTGACTTCATATAGTGTATCTTGGTAGGGGTATATTTGGGTTATTTGTGCTTTTGGTTTATTGAGTTTCTCATGTTTATAGCTCCATGTCTTTCCTCATATTTGTGAGGTTTTTGGCCATTATTTCTTTAACTTATCTCTTTCCCTTTTGTCTTTCTTCTTGTAGGACTTTCATAAGGCCTGCTTATTGGTGCTATATATGCCCTTTATTTTCTGTTTACTTTTTTCCTTGCCTGTCAGATTCAGTATTATCAAATGGCCTGGCCTGTCTTCATTTTCTGATTCTATTTTCTGCATCTTTGTGTGCGCTTTTGAACCTCTTAGTGATTATTAAGTTATTATGATATATTTGAGCTTCAGAACTTTGTACTATTTCAGTGATTTTATCTCATATATTTAAGTTATCATCATCATTATTATTGTTGTTACTGTTAAATATTTGAGCTTCATAATTTTTTAGGTACTATTTCCATGATTTTATCTCGCTCTTTTCATTTTAAGATTTTATTTATTTATTTGACAGAGAGAGACACAGCAAGAGAAGGAACACAAGCAGAGGGAGTGGGGGGGGGGAAGCAGACTCCCCGCTGAGCAAGGAGCCTGATGGGGGGCTCTATCCTAGGACCCTGGGATCATGACCTGAGCCTAAGGCAGACTGAACCATCCAGGTGCCCCTCTCTTTGTTGATATTGAGACTTTATTTACATATTTTTTTCATTTAGTTTTTGTTCTTGTTAGCTTTTAAGCCAATTTAAGTTCATTGTTGAAAAGTCTTTATTCAGTAAGTCTGTCAACTGAATTCCTTTAGTAATGCTTTCTGGAGATTCACTTTTGTATGTTTTAAGGTTCTTTTTGTTTGTTTCTTTGTATGCTTGTTTATCTTTTGTTGGAAATTGGGCATGTGATAAAGAGCCAAAGTTCTATTCTGTGCAGTTTTTTCCGTAGTATGTTTTCAATGTGTTCAAACTTGATATCAGTCCAGGGTAAAGGCTTAAGGTCTTATGTGTTTTCTAGAAATTGGCTTTCCTGTGCCTTTTTTTGCCTAATCTATCTCATATGTATGTTTGATTTAAATGTCTTAATGTTCATGATTGTGAATGCAATTGCTTCTGAAGCTTCTAGTTGTTCAAATGCTTTCAGTCTTTTGCTTAGGAGTCCACAATTTTCTATTCATGCTACAAGTGTACTATGTCTTTGTGCCTTCCATTTTCCTTGAGAGTTAGACTGTCATTCTTCAGAAGGGCTCCAAGTCTTGTGAGGGTAGAGTGTGTCCCTCATAGAAATCATAGAGGTTAGCACTGTGGATGGGATGAGTAATGGCTTATAAAAAGTGACATAAAGGGGCGCCTGGGTGGCTCAGTGGTTAAAGCCTCTGCCTTCGGCTCAGGTCATTATCTCAGGGTCCTGGGATCAAGTCCCGAATCGGGCTCTCTGCTCAGCGGGGAGCCTGCCTCCTCCTGTCTCTCTCTGCCTGCCTCTCTGCCTACTTGTGATCTGTCAAATTAAAAAAAAAAAAATCTTTAAAAAAAAAGTGACATAAAATTTCATATTATTTTGAACCCAGTGTTTTCTTGATTTGACATTTGTTTGGTTGCTGTAGCTCATTGGCTGGCTTCCAGATTTCCTATAAAGTTAGCTTAGTTATTTTCTAGTTTATTTTCAGTGTTTCTGTGGACAGATGTCTTAAGGCCTTATAACTTAGTGTGCCATGTTTCTGATATCACTCTCTTCATATGATTTCAAAATTTGGCTATACATTTCTTTCTGTGAAAGATTTTATATTATATATTTTTTGTTGCATGGGGGTCAATTTCAAGAATATTGCCATTTTTACAATGTTAAAATTTTTAAAAAAGATTTTATTTATTTATTTGACAGAGACACAGCGAGAGAGGGAACACAAGCAGGGGGAATGGGAGAGGGAGAAGCAGGCTCCCCAGTGAGCAGGGAGTCCCATGTGAGGCTTGATCACAGGACCCTGGGATCATGACCTGAGTGGAAGGCAGGTGCTTAATGACTGAGCCACCCAGGTGTCCCACAATGTTAAAATTTTTAATCCTTGAAAGCAGTTTATCTTTCCCTTTCTCTACCCCTTCATTTTCTCTCACTGATGTCATATATGTTTCAGTATATAAATCTTAAACTCCCTTCACCAAATTTATTCTTAAGTATTTAACTCTTTGGTGGTATGCTTTATAAATGGAATTTTTTTTAACTTAATTTTCTATTATTTATTCTGGTGTAAAAAACCCACTAATTTTTGCATATTAATCATACAGACTTCAGCTTTGCAGAATTTACTAGCTTTGATTTTCTATTTCTGGGTTTTTAATATGCTGCTGAATAGTGTCCTAATATATTGTGCTTTGCTTTTTGTAATTGGCTAATGGTTAACACTGAATTCATTTAATAATTACCAAGATCACATTTTGGGGTGCCTGGATGGCTCATCTGGTTAAGCAGCCAACTCTTGATTTCAGCTCAGGCCATGGCCATGATCTTTGGGTCTAAGATTGAGCCCAACATTAGCCTCTGTGCTCAGTGGGGAGTCTGCTTCTTTCCCTTTCTTTCCTTCTCCCCTGAACTCATGTGCACATGCTCTTTCATTCTCTAAAATAAATAAATGCATCTCTAAAAAAATGCCATCATATTTGATATAGATTTATGCTACTGTTGATGTTTAAAGTATGGAAACTAAAAGTTTCTTGGTGGAAAATTTTCTGAGGAAATCAAGGGAGAAGATAGGTATTCTATTGTTGTATGTGAATTACATCCCTTTCATCCCAACATTAGATATGATTCTTTGAAAAAATTCTTGTTTTATCAGGTTTTTTTTTTCTTTTTTAATAACTGGGTGTATATTTTCACTGCTGTTTAAAGTTAGGTTTTGAGATTTTAATCTTTTTATTATGACTACTCATACAGTTATTGTTAATGGGAAAGGTTGTGAATTAGTTTCCAACCAAATAATTGGATTAGAGCAATCAACTATATTAGATAAAATAATTGTTTATTAAGATTTAATTTTAGAATTGATTCAGCAAATGTATCTACAACTTTCTCTAATTTCAATTCCTTTTTTTCATTGTTTTATTTTTCAGGATAACAAAGCCACTGACCTTTGCTGATTGTGTTGGGGATGAACTTCCTTTAGGATGGGAAACTGTATATGATAAACAAATTGGAATTTATTACATGGACCACATAAAAAGTAAGGAAAGTGTCACATTCAATAATTATATGTCAGTGAGTGTTCAAACTGAATTTCAAAGACAACAGAAAGTTTTTTATAAACAGTTTTTATGTAAGGTATTATTAAACTAGGTCTATTAATGTAAATCTTTATTACATTAGCTGTAATTCATTAACTGAATTCTTCCAAAAGTAAACCAGTTGTTTAGATATTCTTTCCTTTTTGTTTTGCTAAAGAGCAAATATATTAATTTTCAGTATTAGGGCTTTAATGTCTAATATAAGGAATATATTTCCCAGGAAATTTGTAGATAAGTGAGACTTTTTTGCAGTGAGAAGGCTATTTATGCAAAAACGGACTTGTTAAAATAAATTTCTTTTCAGTGTTCCAGGATTCATTGTTTATGCTCCATACCCAAGGCTCCGTGCAATATATGCCTTCCATAATACCCACCACCCAACCCCCACACTCTTCTCCCCTCCAAAACCCTCAGTTTGTTTCTCAGAGCCCACAGTCTGTCATGGTTTGTCTCCCCCTCCAATTTCCTCAAACTCACTTCTCTCCATCTCCCAGTGTCCTCCGTTTATTCTTTATGTTCCATAAGTAAGTGAAACCATATATAATTGAATCTCTCTGCTTGACTTATTTCACTCAGCGTAATCTCTTTCAGTCCCATCCATGTTGACACAAACGTTGGGTATTCATCCTTTCTGATGGAGGCATCATACTCCATCGTGTATATGGACCACATCTTCCTTATCCATTCGTCCCTTGAAGGGCATCTTGGTTCTTTCCACAGTTTGGCGACCGTGGCCATTGCTGCTATAAACATTGGGGTACAGATGGCCCTTCTTTGGGTAAATAACCAGTCGTGCAATTGCAGGGTGATAAAGAAGCTCTATTTTTAATTTCTTAAGGAATCTCCACACTGTTCTCCAAAGTGGCTGCACCAACTTGCATTCCCACCAACAGTGTAAGAGGGTTCCCCTTTCTCCACATCCTCTCCAAGTCATGTTGTTTACTGTCTTGTTAATTTTGGCCATTTTAACTGGTGTAAGGTGGAATCTCAATGTAGTTTTGATTTAAATCTCCCTGATGGTTAGTGATGAACATTTTTTCATGTGTCTGTTAGCCATTTGCATGTCTTCTTTGGAGAAGTGTCTGTTCACATCTTCTGCCCATTTTTTGACATGATTATTGTTTTGTGTATGTTGAGTTTGAGGAGTTCTTTATGGACCTTGGATATCAGCCCTTTGTCTGTACTGTCATTTGCAAATATCTTCTCCCAATCCGTGGGCTGCCTTGTTCTGTTGACTGTTTCCTTTGCTGTGCAGAAGCTTTTGATCTTGATGAAGTCCCAAAAGTTCATTTTTGCTTTTGTTTCCTTTGCCTTTGGAGACATATCTTGAAAGAAGTTGCTGTTGGTGATGTTGGAGACGTTACTGCCTAGGTTCTCCTCTAGGATTCCTATCTCACATTGAGGTCTTTTATCCATTTCGAGTTTATCTTTGTGTATGGTGTAAGAGAATGGTCGAGTTTCATTCTTCCACATATAGCTGTCCAGTTTTCCCAGCACCACTTATTGAAGAGACTGTCTTTTTCCCACTGGATATTATTTCCTGCTTTGTCGAAGATGATTTGACCATAGAGTTGAGGTCCATATCTGAGCTCTCTACTCTGTTCCACTGGTCTATGTGTCTGTTTTTTGTGCCAGTACCTTGATATCTTGGTGATCACAGCTTTGTAGTAAAGCTTGAAATCAGGTAACGTGATGGCCTCAGTTTTGTTATTCTTCTTTAACTATTTCCTTAGCAATTCGGGGTCTTTTCTGATTCTATACAAATTTTAGGATTGTTTGTTTCAGCTCTTTGAAAAAACGCCAGTGGAATTTTGATTAGAATGGCATTGAAAATATAGAATGCTCTAGGCAGTATAGACATTTTAACAATGTTTATTCTTCTGATCCATGAGCATGGAGTGGTCTTCCATTTTTTGGTGTCTTCTTAGATTTCTTTCATGAGTGTTCTGTAGTTCCTAGAGTACAGATCCTTTACCTCTTCGGTTAGATTTATTCCCAGGTATCTTATGTTTCAGTGCTGTTATAAAAGGAATCAATTTCCTAATCTCTTTTTACAGTTACATTGTTAGTGTATAAGAAAGCAACTGATTTCTTTGCATTTATTTTGTGTCCTGCCACATTACTAAATTGCTCTATGTGTTTTATTAGTTTGGGGGTGGAGTCTTTTGGGTTTTCCTTATAAAATATCATGTCATCTGCGAAGAGAGAGAATTTGACTTCTTCATTGCCAATTCAGATACCTTTTATCTCTCTTTGTTGTCTGATTGCTTTTGCTAGGACTTCTAATACTATGTTGAACAAGAATGGTGAGAGTGGGCAGACTTGTTGGATTTCTGATCTCAAAGGGAAGGCTGTGAGCTTTTTCCCATTGAGGATGATATTTGCTGTGGGTTTTTCATAGATTGATTTGATGAAGTTGAGGAATGTTCCCTCTATCCCTTTACTTTGAAGTCTTTTAATCAAGAATGGATTCTCTATTTTGTCAAATGCTTTTTGTGCATCAATTGAGAGGACCATATGGTTCTTCTCTCTTCTCTTATTGATTTGTTTGATCACATTGATTTGTGAATGTTAAACCATCCCTGCATCCCTCAAAAATGGACTTTTAAAACTTTCTTGAAATAACAAATGTCCAAGTGATTACCTTAACTTCACGTTTTCTTACACATTTAATTTTAACTCTAATACATCAATCTTTTTGATCTTTCCAGTGGAAGAGAACTATGTAAAGACGATAGCTGAAATAATAACATGGGTCCTTGACCATGCTGTTTTCTTTGACAAACTGTTTAGAGCACTGGCTCTCAGCCACTGAACAAGACTAAACAGTGAGTGACACCACTGCTGATCAGGTGACATTGTACTATAGGGCACCACAGAAGTTCTTCAACATAACATTACTTTGTTGGCAGTTATTTTCAAGACTAGAAGATGTAGCTGATCTTCCTAACACATGGAAACAAACACAGAGGGTCAGACAAAATGGAGAGACAGAGGAGTATGTTCTGGATGATAGAACAGAACAAAGTGCAACAGAGATAAGTGATATGCCTGATAAAATATTGAAAGTAATAGTCACAAAGACTCACTGAACTTGAGAAAAACAGTGGAGACATCAGTGAAAATTTGAATTCAAATGAAGAAAATGTATAAAAGGAATCAGAGATGAACAACTGAATAAGTGAAATTTGAAATACACCAGAGGGAATCAACAGCAGACTAGAGAATGAAGAATGGGTCAGTGAGCTGGAAAACACGGTAGTGGAAAGCAATCAGGCTGAGCAGAGAATAGGAAAAAAAAGTGAGAATATGTTAAAGGAAATCTGTGACAGCGTCAATCATCATAAATTCTCATTATAAGGATCCCAGAAGAAGAAGAAGAGAGAAAAGGGGCTTAAAATTAATTTGAAGAAACTTTATTAATCTGGGTTATAAAATAGACATCCAGATCCAAGAGGCACAGAGAGCTCTTAACAATAAGCCAGGACACATAATAATTACAAAGGCAAAGATTAAAGATTAAGAGAGAATTTTAAAAGCAGCAAAAGGAAAGAGTTACCAACTAGAGGATCCTCATAAGGCTGTCAGTGGGTATTTTTCAGCAGAAGCTTTGCAAGCCAGATGGGTGTAACACAATATATTCAAAGGGCTGAAAAAGAACAACCTATAGTCAAGAATACTCTATCCAGAAAACAATTAACAAAATGGCTTTAATGCCTTTCTATTAATAACTAGTTTAAATGTAAATGGACTAAATGCTCTCAGCAAAAGACACTGGATAGGTGAATAAATAAGAAACAAGACCATCTATATGCTTCATGTAAGAGACTCATTTTAGTTCTAAAGACCCATGCAGACATTAAGTGAAGGACTGGGAAAGAAAATATTCTGTGTAATGGAAGTGAAAAAACAAAAGCCAAAAAGTTGTGACAGCAGTATTTATTTCAGACAACCCTGACTTTTAAACAAACACTCTAATAAGAGACAAAGACACTACATAATGATAAAAGTCCAAGAAGTAAAATGTACTTTACAATTGTAAATTGTAAATATCTATGCAGCCAACACGGGAACACTGATAAAGCAAATACTAACATACACGAAAGGAGAAATTGACAATAATACAATAATAGTAACAACTGATGAAATAGCAGGTATTTGTAAAGTGTGGAGAAAGGGGAGACCTCTTGCACTGTTGGTGTGAATGCAAACTGCAGCAGCCACTCTGTAAAACAGTATGGTAGTTTCTCAGAAAGTTAAAACCTTACATTCCATCTTTACATTTGTCGGTATTTGTCTCAAGGAAACAAAAACAGTAGAAAACAAAAACAAAAAACATGCACCTCAATGTTCACTGCAGCACTCTTTATAAAAACAAAAACCTGGAAGCAAGCTTAGTGCCTGTTGAGTGATAAAAAGATAGACAGTGTGGTATGTATATCTATCTATACATACAAGTAAACACAATAGGATATTATCTGAACATAAAGAAGGAGTAAACCTTGTCATTTGCAGTGAGAGGAATGCTGGTACAATGTGTTATGCTATGTGAAATAAACCAGTCTAAGACAAATATGATATGATTTTGTTTATATGTGCATTATAAGAAATAGCAAATGCACAATTATTATTATTACTTTTGCAAGTGGACAAATAAAACACTTTTAAATTCAGAGAACAGACTGTCACATGGGAGATGGATAGGGAGATGAGAGATATATAAGTTCTTATATGAGGGGGATATAAACTTTCAGTTATATGTAAGTCATGGATATAAAATGTACAGCACAAGGAATATAGTCAATATTATTGTAATAAAATTGTATGATGCAGATTGTAGTACAGTTAGTATGGTGAGCACTGAGTAGTGAATAGCTATATTGTATACCTGAAAGTAATAGAATTTTTTTTGTGCACTATACTTCATAATAAGTAAAAATTAAAAAATAACAATTGGAACCCTCGCAATGGATAATGGTATATATATATATATATATTTACATATGGTATAAGGAACCACAAAAAGTTCTACCTTTGAGGTTCCTAATAACTCTCCAGTTACTTGGACAATGTGTGAAGAATGGTATTCTGCTGTAGCAGGCCTTGGGCCTGACTAAATGTCAGGAAGTTCCAGGCAGAGGGAGAAAGAAAACTTTAAAAAAGAAGTGCCTTTCACTGAATCTTTGAAGGTATTGGAGTTCCTTTTAGACAGCAGAAGCATAAAGAAATGCAAAGATGAGGCAGCCTAGCATATTAGGGGGCTTTGGAAATTTCAGTCATTTTGGGGCGTATTGGTAGCCAAAGGTACAGGACATAGAAATTAAATTAGCATATTAGTTTGGGGACTCTAATATCTTTTTAAGAAGCCTGAACGTTGTGCTTTACAAAATAGCACATTAAGCCACCTGGGTGGCTCAGTTGCTTAAGCATCTGACTGTTGATCTCAGTTTAGGTCTTGTTCTCATGGTTGTGAGTTGAAGCCCCATGTTTGGCTTCATTTAGGCACATAAAAACAATTAAGAAATAAAGTAGTACACCGAACATGTATTTTTGGTGTGATACATATACTAGTTATTTTTGAAAGGCCATTGTGAAGGATGGGCTAAGAGGATATAGGGAGAAGGGTGTGTTCTCAGTCATTATTATATCAACGGGCAGGTATCACCAGTTCTTGATAATCCATGAATATTCTGTGCCTGTGCGAACAAAAGGCATTTGTCCTGCGCTCGAGGAGGCTTCGTGGCACAGATGGTCCCGCGGCACGCGTGCTGACGGTGAACGACGTCCGCGTCTTCTCGTCGCGGGGCTGCGTGACCGGCGGCCAGCGCGAGGGTTTTACTCGGAAGCCTTTCGTGAAAACGCCTGCCCGTTCGGTTGCAGAGCTCACGCAGATCGCGGACCCCCGCGAACAGTGGCGGTGCGAGCAGGAACGGATGCTGAAGGAGTACTTGATCGTGGCCCAGGAGGCGCTGAATGCCAAGAAGGAGATCTACCAGATTAAGCAGCAGCGGTTCGAGCTGGCGCAGGAGGAGTACCAGCAGCTGCACAGGCTGTGCGAGGACGACAGCCGCTCCCACGCCTTCTGTGAGTCCACGCCTCCCGGGGCGCTCCTGCGTGACGCCGGAAATCCCCCCTGCCCCAGACCCCTCTAGGTCACCTGCACACACCGAGCTTGACTCGGGATAGACTGCCTCCCGGGGTGTCTAAGCACATACTCTTAGGGAGTCAGTGTCGTGCCCCGGAGTCCAGCAGCATCCCGTCGCTGCTGCCTTAGCAGCTACTTACCGAGCACCTATCTGATGCCCAGGCACCGTGACTCCGTGGAGTCCAAGGCTCCGGAAGTCCCTGTTTCCAAGACCTCCCACTTGTGCGCGAAAGGGAGAAAATCACATTTCAAGGAAGTGGCATGAAACAACTTGCTTCTGCCTTGTGCCTTGGGTTTATTATTGCTGAATAGATAAAATATTTTTATAATATTTTATATTATATTTTATATATTATATATATAATATGATATTTTATATTATATTAAAATAGATAAATACTTAGTCACTTCTAGAGTCAATTCCTTCTAGACTTGTAACAACTTGCCATAGTTGTGGACAGTCACAACTGCCCTTGGAGCCAGTATACTTAGGAAGAATGTATGAAGTGGCTATAAGTTTTATTTTACAAAAAAGTATATATAAAGGGGTTTATGTGTGATGTAACAGCTTTTTGCAGGTAAGTGGTTTCATCTGGTAACACAGAATTGAATACTTAAGACATGTTCATAGCTTTATTTTGTGTTGCAAATTAGAATACATTAAAAACACGGGGCAGCATACCTGGGTGGCTCAGTTAGTGTCTGACTCTTCCATTTCAGCTCACATCTTGATCTCACAGTCATGAAATCAAGCCCTATTTGAACAAGAAAATTGAAGGTGACATATTTCTTATGCTACTGTCCTTTTATTCTGTTTGCTTTGATATTGCAGTTGTTTTTCAAGGTGAAGAACCCATGCATGCTTCTGAGAATGATGGAATTTTCCTCTGTAACTTGATTTTTAAGGTATTTCTTTAACCATACCTTAAGAGAATGGAGAGGGTTCAGGAATAATGGTTTCTTGTTTCCAAGTTATCTGTACCTCTTTTTCACATACGGGTAAATACTACTCCCCCCCCCCCCCCAATCCTAAATCATAATGGTCAGGTTATTGTTCACTTTTATAGATTAGTTTTTTTTTTTAATCTCTGTAGTTACCTTTTCCTGTAATGTCTTTGTCTGTAATTTTGTTGTCAGAATTATACTGCTATAATAGAATGAATCATTAGAGAATGTTCCTCTTTCTTTTCTGGAAGAGCTTTTGTAAATTGGTATTAAATGTTCCTGAGATATTTGATGAAATTCACCACAAAAATTGTCTGTACCTCAAGGTCTTTGTAGAAATGATTTAAACTACAAACTCAGTATCTTTAATAGATACAGGAATATTCAGATGTTCTATTTCTCCTTCAATCCATTTTCTCATTTGTTTTTATCAGGGAATTTATTTATTTAATCTAATCCAAAAGCCTGCAAACTTTTCTGTAGAGGATCTACTAGCAAAAGTTTTAAACTTTGAGGATCCTGGTTACAGCTATTCTGTTGTTACAGTGCAAAAGTAGCCATAGAAAATTTCTAATCAATGTGTGTGGTTATACTCTAGTATATGTAGAAGCATAGGCAGTAAGCTTTACTTAGAGAAATAGAAATTTGCTCTCTCAGGAAAATTTGCTACTCTTTAATCTAAGCTGTCAAATTTATAATGTTCATAGAACACCCATATAATTTTTTTCTTTTGGTCTTCACATTTAATTGTGGGTTTTATTTTATTTTTTTATTTTATTGTTTTTTCAGTGTTCTAAGATTCATTGTTTATGCACTACACCCAGTGAGTGCTCCATGCAATACATGCCCTCCTTAATATCCACCACCAGGCTTGCCCATACCCCCACTCCTCTCCCATCCAAAACCCTCAGTTTGTTTCAGTCTCTCATACTTCGACTCCCCCTCCGATTTCCCCCAATTCACTTTTCCTTTCCTTCTCCTAGTGTCCTCCATGTTATTTGTTATGCTCCACAGTAAGTGAAACCATATCATAATTGACCTCTGCTTGACTTATTTCACTCAGTATAATCTCCTCCAGTCCCGTCCATGTTGATACAAAAGTTAGGTATTCATCTTTTCTGATGGATGCGTAATATTCCATAGTGTATATGGACCACATCTTCCTTATCCATTCGTCCGTTGAAGGGCATCTTGGTTCTTTCCACAGTTTGGCGACCGTGGCCATTGCTGTTATGAACATTGCGGTACAAGTGGCCTTTTTTTCCACTGACTCTGTATCTTTGGGTTAAATACCCAGTAGTGCAATTGCAGGGTCATGGAATAGCTCTATTTTTAATTTCTTGAGGAATCTCCACACTGTTTTCCAAAATGGCTGTACCAACTTACATTCTCAGCAACAGTGTAAGAGGGTTCCCCTTTCTCCACATCCTTTCCAACACACGTTGTTTCCTGTCTTGTTAATTTTGGCCATTCTAACTGGTGTAAGGTGGTATCTCACTGTGGTTTTGATTTGAATTTCCCTGATGGCTAATGATGATGAACATTTTTTCATGTGTCTGTAAGCCATATGTATGTCTTTAGAGAAGTGTCTGTTCATGTCATCCGCTCATTTTTTGGACATGATTATCTGTTTTTTGGGTGTTTGAGTTTCTTTACAGACTTTGGATTTCTGTCCTTTGTCTGTGGTATCATTTGTGTATATCTTTTCCCATTCTGTGGGTTGCCTGTTTCATTGACTGTTTCCCTTGCTGTGCAGAAGATTTTTTTCTTGAAGAAGTCCCAGTAGTTCATTTTCCCTTTTGTTTCTTTTGCCTTTGGAGATGTATCTTGAAAGAAGTTGGCTGTGGCTGATGTCAACTAAGTTACTACCTATATTTTACTCTAGGATTTTGATAGATTCCTGCTTCACATTGAGGTCTTTCATCCATTTTGAGTTTATCTTTGTGTATGGTGTAAGCAAATGGTCAAGTTTCATTCATCTATACATAGCTGTCCAATTTTCCCAACACCATTTATTGAAGAGTCTTTTTTTTTCCCCCACTGCATATTTGTTCTTTCTTTGTCGAAGTTTAGTTGACCATAGAGTTGAGAACTGATATCTGGGCTCTGTATTCTGTTCCATTGATCTTTGCATCTGTTTTATGCCAGTACCATCCTTAATGAATCAGAGCTTTGTAATATAGTTTGAAATCAGGCAACATGATGCCACCAGCTTTTTCTTTTTCAACATTTTCTTGGCAATTCAGGGTCTTTTCTGGTTAGAACACCCATATCCTTTGAATTTTTGTAGGTTCTTAGTGGAATATTTTATTCCTAATAATAATTTGTGTCTTCTCTATTTTTCTTAATGTCTAGTTTTATTAATTTTATTTATTCTTTCAATGAACTGTCTTTTAATCTTATTTATTTCTCATATTTCTTTTTTCCTTTCTATTTTATTGATCTCTGTTCTTTATTATTTCTTTTCTACTATTTAGTTTGGTTTTAATTTATTCCTTTTCTAGCTTCCTAAAGTAGAAGTACCTAAGGTTAGATAATTGAATTTGGAACATTTTTTTTCTCACATAGCGTTTAAGGATCACATTTTCCCTTAAACACTTTTTAAATTACACAAATATTGGTATGCCATGTTTTCATCTTCCTTCTAATTTTTTTCTGTGTATTTTCTAATTTCTTTTGTGATTTATTTTTAACCCCGGAGTTCTTTAGAAGTACATTGTTGGGAATTTTTAAGATGTCTTGTTCCTTGTTTCAAGTTTGATTCCTTTATGGAAAGAAAATAGATTATGTAAGAATTTGCTCTTTGGAAATCTGTTGAGACAACATTCAGAGCCAAGCATATGACTCCTTTTGGTGCACTTGTAAGACTGTAAGCCCATAGAATTTTTTTTTTTTTTTAAGATTTTATTTATTTATTTGACAGAGAGAGATCACAGTAGACAGAGGCAGGCAGAAAGAGAGAGAGAGAGGGAAGCAGGCTCCCTGCTGAGCAGAGAGCCCGATGCGGGACTCGATCCCAGGACCCTGGGATCATGACCTGAGCCGAAGGCAGTGGCTTAACCCACTGAGCCACCCAGGCGCTCCAGCCCATAGAATTTTGATTTGAGGTCACACATGTAACAGAAACATCGGCTTATGGCTGGTTCTGAGCATTTACTCATTGTAAAGCTTTCAGAAAGCCACGTGATTAAAGTGAAATTTCACCACATCATAGTGTTATTTTTGTATGTAATAAAAATATGATCCAATGTTAACAATTTCATGTTTTTTAATCTAATAGTGTTTTTCCTCCCAGAGGCCTATAGTTAAAGTTCATTGAAGCAGTGCTCAAATCCATTTAAAAAAAAATATTTTATTTATTTGACAAAATGAGTGAAAGAGAATGCACAAGCAGGGACATAGGTAGGGGTAGAGGGAGAGGGAGAAGCCGACCCCTCACTGAGCAGGGAGCCCCATTCAGGGCTGGATCTCAGGACCCTGGAATCATGACCAAGGGTGAAGGCAGCTGCTTAAGTGATTGAACTACCCAGGTGCCCTCACATCATCTTTTAAAAAATGGTGTTGAAGAAGACTGTATCAGACATATTTGATAGTACATTTGTTTTTTCTTTTCTTTTCTTTCTTTTTTTTTTTTTTATGTTATGTTAGTCACCATACAGTACATCATTAGTTTTTGTTGTAGTGTTCCATCATTCATTGTTTGGGTGTAACACCCAGTGCTCCATGCAATACGTGTCTGCCTTAATACCCAACACCAGGTTAACCCATCCTCCCATCTCTCTCTCTTCCAAAACCCTTAGTTTGTTTCTCAGAGTCCATAGTCTCTCACGGTTCCTCTCCCCCTTCGATTCCTTCCCCCCTTCATTTTCCCCTTCCTTCTCCTAATGACCTCCATGTTAGTCCTTATGATCCAACAAGTGAAACCATACGATAATAGACTTTCTCTGCTTGACTTATTTCACATAGCATAATCTCCTCCAGTCCCATCCCTGTT